CAATGCCTTTTCCATTTTTGGGACAAAGTGGACAGAACTCGCTAAGCGCATGTCAAAATAAATTACAAGCGCATTAGTTTTTAGGAAATTCAACCCATTATTGGGGTTAAAATGCAGTGAAATAATACAAGAAAACACTGAACTGATTTCCAAAGCAACAATTTTTAAGAAAAGCAGACAATTTAAAATTAAGTAACTGCTATAAGTATATAAGTATAAGTATATATTCATTGCTCGATATCTTTCGATTGTCTTAAATGTTTTAATACTCTGTAGCCAAAGGGTAATAGGCTATACTAGTTTCTTAGATGTTTCGATATAAATCGATCAATTTTTGGTATAGTCTAAAGCACTGGTCTTTCGAAAATCTCAGCTCTTGGTTTGTAAAAATCTCAACTTAAAACTTAATTACTGCCGGCAAACATTTGTATTTTTGAGGAATACTTCTATAGATACAATTTGTTGTTTGCTTTTTTAAGTACAAATAATTATTGCTGCTACTAGTATTATTACAAGTATTAGTATTTTCAGTCCTTGTAAAATAATTGTGCACAATTATTTCATTACCTTCTTAAATTATAGTTTCCTACAACTAACTGCAAATTTAGCATAAATTATATACTTACTTTGTTATTAGAAATTGCTGTTGTATTGCAGTTATTTGGTGGTTATCCGATGCTTTTTATTTTAAACTGAAACCACAGTTAAACTGCAGGGTTTTCTCTCTGTCTCTGACTCTGTCGTTATGTTTATGTTTTTTTATTTTTCCACATCTCATCGCGCTGACAATTCTTTGATATTTGCGCAGTCATTGCTGGCGTTAAGAGTTTTGACTTTTGAAATTATGCAACAGACAGTCGCGTTGTTCCACATTTGATTAACTTGTCCCGATCTCCATTTGCAATGTCGAGCTGCCCTGCTCATGTTGCTGGCCAGATTGCTGCTGTCTCTATCGATTAGTAGCCGATAATAATAATAATGATGCAATGCTTCGAGATATGCTTACACATATATGTTATAATGTTGCGGGTGTCGCATAGACACGGGACGGTTGTCTGTGAAATAATTGCACAAGCCAAGTACGAGTATTATTCAAGCCAAGTCAAGCAATTAGAGTCAAGTTAGTGTGGCGTGGCGTGGCGTCGCAGTCGAAGCAGGTGGCCAGCCGGGTTCATTAATGCCTCGTCTAGCACCTAGAGAGGTTAGCTGGTTGATTAAATCATCAAAACCTATTAAATAACCTATTAATCCAACATTAGCACATGTGATGATTTGTGTGCAATATATCACCATTTCTCTCCAGACACGTGAGGCATAACATATATTGCTCATTCTTTCCAATATAGAATCCTCAATCTATCGCAATGGAATGGAAAAGCCTTGGCAGCTTGAAATATAAATCCAACTACAATTCATTCCATACAATTCCAGACCTCAAATATCTGGTAGATATTTTCTGAGATGACGAACTAGAAAGACCAGTCTTCTCGCCTGGTATTGCAAATCCTTCCCTTTGCTTCGGCACATTCACATTTCTGCACTACTGAGAAAATAAGTATAACATTTCCATATTGCCAGAAGTCGCTGCTTCAAAAAACTTCGAAAGAATGATCGCATTAGCAACCTTCTCAAAAGTTAATCATCGTTTTTGTGTTAATTTGAATTCCAAGAAATCTGTAAAAAGCTTAAAACTTCCCTTTTGACTGTGATTATATGTAGATTATAATTCAATTTTTTTTTGGTTAATAATAAGAAACCAATTATCAGGCTTGATTATTAAAAAACTACAAAAATACGATCTTCGCACAATAAAAGAGGTTGAGAGCTGATTCTTTCGCAGCTTCACATTATCGTGCAATAAAGAGAGACAATATAGTATAATAAATAAGAGAAAGCAGCATCAGAATCAACCAAAATAGTTGACAACAACAGGAAAAAAGAGCAGCAAGTCATAATTTCGTACGAAGTCACGTGCATGATGCAGAGACGAAGACAACAGATCGAGACAGAGATGCTCGGGGTGAGCGATTGTCTTTGGAGCTGCCTCAGAAAACCACGAAGCGTCTAGTTTGCGGCGGCGCTCTCCCGTTTTCTGCAGATCTGTTCAGCTCAGTTCTTATGACACATTCGAACTTAGAAAGAGCAGCGACAACGCGATCGATAATTACTATGGACGTCAAGTCAAAATAGGTTTATGTAGAATACAAAACTGGGCAAGTGGAAGTGCACAAACATTTTGCAAGGCAAACTAAGAATTAAGTAAAGAAGAACGCACAAATGCTTGTTTTTAAGCAATAAATTCATGAATTAGGGCAAAGACAATGGACGTTATCAGCATCGTCATCGTCTCTGCACGTGACGTTGCGATGACGAGATGATGGCAATAATTTCGATGACAGGGAGATGTTGCCGTTGACGTCGAAACGCGATCGAGTCATCGAAAGATGATGGAGACCGCTTAATATAAGCAAACAAATAATTAATAAATTAATAAGATGAAACGTCAAGAAATCTAATGCACACACACACACAGCTGTTTGTCTGTGTACATATACATATGTGTATACTTTTGATCTCTTTGTTTCGTTCTGTTTGCTGTGATTGCCAACGTTTTTGTTGTTTGTATTTAGCCAATCATTAAGCAATTGAGGCTGTGGGGCACACACACACAAACACACACAAAAGATTTTCGCTGCTTATCAATGGATGGAATGTCAGGCATCGTCTGTTTTTGCTATCGCGATCTTAGCGCCCTAACTTCGCACAAAAGTCGTTGATTTCTGCAAATTTTTAATTAACAACAATTACAAGCACTTAAGAAGTATTAAGACATGCTAAATGCATGCAAAATATCATCAACGCTGACGCCGAAGCGACGCTAACGCTGACATTGCGAGCGACCGCGTAACCTCCAAAAAAAAAAAAAAATAATAATGATAATAATATGAAAAGAATAAATACAATAAGGAGCAGCAACGATGCCGAGGGAGTGGCTCCACACAGCAATGTGATGTGCTGATAAGCTGCGATTGCGCGTACAAATTTCTAATGAAAGTTTTCGAATTGCCGCACATGTGATTGGCTAAAAGCTGAGCCGCTGGTGAGATGAAATGGACGGAATTACGCCAAAAACCCAAGACGTCGGCGACTGGCGGTTTTGTTTGAGTACCACACGTCGGCTACGCGTCGTCGAACGCGTTCGAACCGAGTTCGAAGTAGAGATGGAGATGAGTTGGCTTTCTTTCGGTCCAGCACGACACGACATGACAGTTGTTCGTAACACAGGGCACCACCAATTTGTTTTCCAAAAAAGAAAATAAACTCATCCCTTCTCGGACCTAGGAGAATATGGATACCAACTTCGGTTGTTCCAGCTTTTATAGTTTCTGAGATCCTTGCGTTCATCCAGACGGACGGACAGATGGACGGACGGACATGTCTAGATCGATTTCTCGCGGCATGCTGATTTAAAATATATATACTTTATGGGGTTGGAGATGCTTCCTTCTGCATGTTACATACTTTGCACAAACCTAATATACCCTTTTTACCCTACGGGTACAGGGTATAAAAAGAGTTACTATCATTTATAAATCGAGTATGTCCTCAAATTATGTTTGAAATGCATTTTAAAACGCTACTAGATATTTTAACTATATTTATATGGAGAAATTAATGAAAAGATTTTAAAGAAATTTGTCCGAATTGAGGAAAATGTACATACGTACGTATATACATATATATATATATATCGCACATACAGAATGAGCCTAAATGTAATATATGAAATTCTAATGGCATTATGAACGACGTTGTTTTGCATTAAAAAGTAGAACTGACATTTGTCAAAAACAGTTTGTAAGTTTTACTAACAGTACGATATGATGGACGAATCGATAAGATTCAATTTATATAATCGAAAAAACTGCAAAGGATTATTATAATATTTAAATACATTATATAAATAATAAACAAAGCTGAAATCGAAAAGCTTTAGAAAATATAATTTTTTTCTTCATTTATGTAAAGAAGTAGAGTTATCGGGCAATAAACCCATTTATCTCACTATTGTCTATTTTAAACATTGAATTGTTTTTGTACTTTTTAATAAATTTATTTTCACAAACTAATAAACGTGCCTCTAGTACTTGCCAATACAATAAAAAATTTTAATCCAGAAAAACCTCAATAGCATTAATTTTTTATTAAACTATAAAATACATACCCACAAATGGGAGGAATTTAATTATATATACATATATAATAATTACATGCACGTGTTTTCCAAATTCTTATTAAGTATATTATGTTCGACGACCATTCGTACCCATCTCTAGTTTGAAGCGCGTTCAAAGCGACGCACGCACACGATGCTGCGCAGTCGGCGTTGGCAGCGCAGTCAGTCACTCACCCACACCACAACGGCTACGACTGCTGCTGCTGATGCAGAGATTATGAGTGAGACGCAGCCGCAGCAGCAGAGTCCAAGCTTCTGCGCTCTCCAGCGGCAGCGTCAACGTCTACGTCTACGTCAGCCGCGTTCAAACAGGATCTGAGCGTATATTACGTGGCGGCTGGTTTTAAGCCAACATCATTCCCCAACTGAACGCCAACAACACAGCTGCGCTGTCGATCGCTTCTACCAAAAGCACGAGCAACTCGGCCAACACGAGCACAACCAACAACACACCGACGATAACGAGCAGCTGTTTGGGCCCAATTCCCCACTGCTCTGCTCTCTCCTGTGTTATCTCTGCCGCATCTCAGGGCATCTCAGCTGCGAAGAGAAACGCGAATTTCCAAAAGATCGCCCCCTCCGCCCCCAACGTTGCTGCCAAAAGTGTGAGCTGAACTCCCAAATCACACACACATACACACACACACACACATAGTCGCGCGCTCTCTTTTGTGCTGCTCGTACGCACTCGTGTCGTTCGTTCGGTTCGCTACGCAGCGCTCGTGCCGAGCTCGAGCCGTCGTAAATTACTTGCAAAGTTAATTTTAGTCTCGGCTTTTAATACCGTTTTAGAGCGTTTTCGAGTTGGTCGTGTTTTTGTTAACCAAAAATCGAAAAAAAAAACTTAACCAATTCCCAAAAAACTTTTCATAAAATAAAACTCTTCGGCTGTGCTAAAAAACCGATATAAAACAAAATTGTACTTAAAATTCCGCGCATACAAAATAAAGTTTATAAAAAACTTTTTTCGCTCGCTTTGTTGCACATTAACATAAGCATTTAAAAACGGTGTAAAAGACGAGGAAAAGGCAAACGTTAACAACTTCTTCATCTTCGTATTATTATTTTTTTTTTTTGGAGAAACATAAAATCAGCAATAAAATACTTTTATGCATGCGAGTCCTCGTCGTTCGATAAGCAAAGGAAAAAAACAGACAATTAAATAAATTTGCTGAATTCCTTTTTTTTTCATTTATTTTGCCTGGAAAGTTTCGAACGGAAATGTAAACTACTCGCCCCCGCCCGATCGACGAGCCAATTTTCGATTTTTTTTCGAGTCAACTCGCGGCCAGCAGCAAAATTCTAAGAACAGGCCTACTAACACCACCACACCACACATTTGCTGTAAAACCCCAATTTGTTGTCAAATAAACAAATAAAAGAGGAAATCCAAAAGCCAAACGCATCAAATACACAACAAACAAACAAAAAAGACGGAAGTGTTTTTATAAAGCGGCAAAAAGCAAAGCGGCGCATCCTGTTTCGGTTTTTTCCACACTCTCTCGCACTCTCTAACTCAGTTGCTCTCTTTCTCTCAATCGCTTGCGCACTGACCACGGACTGCAGCATTAAGAGTTGTTAGACATCCACAAAAAAAACTCCAAATAATAATAAACAACTGCAAGAAAACGCGGCTAACGGTAAGTAATTATTATGTGATTTTTTTAAATGTACGTGTATGTTATGGCAGAAGGTTTTTAAAGAGTGTAGAGCAGTAGTATCTTAAAGGCAGGAAGAAGGAAGAGAATGCAAACCGCAAATGCGAAGCTTACGTAACAGACAACAAACATAGAACCTTTTACATCACTGTTCACATTTGAAATATTTTGCGAAAAAGTGGCAGAAGTAATTTGTCGAATACTTGTATAATTTGTTTTATTTCCCTCCCCACTTGGCGCCAAATATCGCAGCCCCTTCCTCCTTCTACTGATGATTTACACATGTAATCGCGGCTTTAGTAACAAATTATAGCCTTTCTCGAATTTCAAAATGACACAATAACAAGGGCTATCATAATTATAATGATAATGTGACTACGACAAAAGCCCGAACTCGAACAAAAAGCTCATAGCCATAGAAACAATAAATAAATAAATATTGCATGTACACGGACCTGTTAACAACAATAAATAAAGGCAAAATATTATTAAACGATTTCAACGAAATCGAAATGAAAACAATGCATCCAGACGGGGACGGGACGGTACGGGCCGAGACAGGACAGGATGGGTGGATCGGTAATTGGGCTCCAATGTCATAAGCATTTGCGCCGAAATAATATCTAGACAAAAAACAGAAAAACAGAAAAACCCACAGTGTCGCAAGTAATTTGATTTAAAATCGTAAATAGAGCTGCAGTTGTGTCAGTCGGACTCAATTACTGTTATGTAGGTTATATCCACATATATGGCCTTAGGGGTACTTACTACTTATATATGCATATACACGTTTGTATAGTATGTGTGGGTGGCTCTTATGTGATTAGCTGCCACACACAGAGTTGTAACGTTCCACAACAAAAGCTAACTATCGAACTATTCGTAATCGATAGCCCCAATTGAAGCTCAGCACATCGATCATCAAATCTCTACCAGCAACCCAATTATTAGTTATACAATTTTCGTTCAGGCTTCAATGTTTTATAAAATATTACAAGTTTGATTGTTTTATAAGTTGACATCTAATTGAGAGCTATCGAAAAAGTCTATAGATCTTAAGACAGCAGCACTCCTTGTTTTAAAATGATTTAAAAGATTTTGTATTAAGTACTTGTATAATTAACATTTTGACTTATGGGAGTTGGGAAATAATAATTTCATCTTCTCATTCATACTCACGACTCTAACGTAAAACTTTAAAGGGTTTTTACAAATAACTTTCAAGCATTTTAGGGAGAAGCCCAGCTTGGCAATTCAATAAAAAATAAAATAAAAAATAGCTTGTTTTACTTCATATTTTGTTTTCAGTCTTCACAAATTAGCCAAAGAACATAAAATAAATGAACCAGTGCTTTATTTTTCATCTTCACAGTAGAATAAATCTTGCATTGTCTTTAATGCTCACATTTGTTCATTTGTTTCTAAATATCTTTCTGACATTTCAAAAACTCGTCACAAAAATGTCATCTGCGGCTTCTTGCTACAAATTCATCGTTTGTTTTTTTTTTTTTTTGATTTTTAAATTTAACTCATAACTTGAACGAGTATCTTAAAAACAAAGTAAAAGTAGTATAATGCAACCATTTGAAGATTTTTTCAGCATGAACATGGCTATGATATTTAATTTGACGATAAACGATCATTGTATTGTTTTTAAAATGTACGCTGATCAATAAGATAAATCTGTTGTCTGCTTTTATACTTTAATATTCTCCTTAATGTGCTGAGGAAAGGTTTTAAATGCAACTTCTTGCTAAGAATTTTATTTGTATTTCATTTCATGGCAACGTTAGGCAGTTGAAAAATGTCATTAATTATTATCTTGACTGAACAAATTAAAACGATGCTAGAAAATATTTCAATTGCAGCTTCTTGATGAGAGTTTTACAGTTTGCTTGCAGATCTATCAGTTAAAATTTTGTACTTAATACAGTGAAATCTCTAGTCAAGGACATCTCCAAGAGATATATTTTAGTGTATTAAGATCTTAAAACAATTTGTTACTGCTGATTCTTTAAGAAACTAAAAGCTACTCCACTTTTTATTCAAAGCTCTTCATGATTTTTATTTTCAATAAATCGCCTGAATTGTATCTCAAAAACATACCTATAGTACAGTACATACAAGTTTCATAATAATTTAATATCTCAATTTAAAAGTTTTTCAAACCACACTTTAATTTTAATTATTATTTCATTTATTAAATAATATTGATTCTGCCTGCCGCCTGTCTGTCTATCAGTCACACAGAAATTCACTTCCGCAGTTAAGATGATGCTTATCGGTTCGGTTGACTCAATACTGAATAGCTGCTCAGCGTTGGCATTTGGTTTTAGGCGGCTAAGACCAATGGTTGGCAGCCTGGCGGCACTTAAAAGTTGGCATTTCGGCTTACACACACATACACATACACACACTCCTCAGCTACAATAGTCCGCTTTTAATTGTCTTGCAATTAAAGCCTCACACGCACATTCACAATATCAGCGTGCTGGACACTAATCGCTAAATTATTGCGCTGCCGCCCTCCCTGAAAAGCTAAAAAAAAACAGCAGCAACAAATACAAAAAAAAAAAAAAAAAAAAAAAAAAAAAAATACAAAAGACGAAGCAAAATACGAATATGGGAATGTGACGCGTTGAGCTTATATGTATGTATCTTATAGATACTTTTTGGTACGCCGAGCGCATGCGCACTGCATAACAGGCGATGAAGATTATTTAAGCGTCTGCCATTTGCCCATCGCTTTGGTGCTGCCGGCGCACATGCGTAGCTTGTCAAATATCTGCGTATCAGCGTATAACGAAATCAAATCACAATCCAATCCAATCCAGTCACAATCACAATCACAATCCAAACCGATCCAATCAGCATAGAAAACTTTCACTGACGCACGCTCCAAATGCAAACGAACTCACACACCCAGCCATCTTTCTACATAAGCACGTGTGTGTGCGTTGGTCTTTAAGTATACCTGTGTGTGTGTGTGTGTGTGTGTGTGTAGCCTATAATGTTTCGATCGCTCGATCGCTTGATCGCAACGGATATCCGTCAGTCAGCGAAACGCTGCCAGCTCTCCCAACAAATTGCCAATTTTTGCAGGGAGAGATTAATTAAAAATTTGCATATAGCCTAATTAAAATTATTACACCTTGCACTCCGTAAATTTCACAGAAAAAACAAACAACAAATTGAAAAGTTCTAATTGAAACAATAACTTAAAACTGCTGGCAGCCGCAGGCTAATTAGCATTTTTGTGTTTTGTTTTTTCAAATGACGACAAAAAGACGAGGTGAGAAAAATATTTCACAAACGACTGCGACGCCAGCAGCGCCACAGGCAGCAGCAGCAGCAGCGTCAAGTCAAGTCAAGTGCCTACTTGAGTGGAAAATCAATGCACTTCCGCAAAAGCTTCAAACAAACAAGCAAACAAACACAGATAGACAGACAGGCAGACAAGCAGGCAGATATACTACATGCATGCATGTATGTATGTACCTATGTACGTACATACATATCTATATATATACATGCGTACATACATATGTATAAGTTGGCTGACACACGAATGCCGCTCAAATCCCAAGCTGCTGATTTTTTAATCATTTGTACAAATTGCAAGCGCCAGAAGTTGTAAAATTTAAAAAAATTTCAAATAAAAACATTACAAAATACATACAAGTACATACATATAGGACAGAGAGTCGGAGAGGATGGTTTATTTCGGCACTCTTCGCGCTACGCTGCTTTGCCTGAAAGACAGTGAACCGTTAGTTCTCTCACCAGAAGAAGTGTGTTCATCCCTCTCTGATTAGGCGTCGTTCTTGTACTCATTTCTGTCTGCAAGAGAGCGACCCGTTAGAAGGCTGATTAAGTGCCGCTAATGCTCTCCACCGCTTTGCCAAAGCTGCTGCATAAGCGCTCATCCTACTCAGTATTTGTGCCTTTTATGTTAAACATGGACCTTCGTTTTGAGTTTAACAAGTTTTTCAGAATGTCTTTGAAGACAAATGTTTTTGTTTTCAAAATGTTAAGTTACTTCTTCCGCAAAATGTGAGCTTCCCAATCGGGTTTTTATAAAGGAATAAAACTTAAACAATTAATGTCATTTTGTTATTTTTAAAAGAACGATTGCAGCGGGTTGTAACGCCACTTGCTGGCGATCGCCTGTCATAATTCATAGCATACCCTTTACATTGAGTTATACATACATATGTATATATACGAGTATGTGTAGATATGTATTTCATATATACCTACAAGTATATATATTTTTGAAAATCGTAAATGCTGCGCCTGCGCAACTTTCGCCCGCGACTTAACTTCACTTTTACACACATTTATACATACTTCACATACCATACATACATAGTTAAAATACATACTTTATATGCATATGTATGTACATTAAAATATTAATATTGTGCTTATACGCATTGTTTATGTTGCTGCAATTATTATTGTCTTTATTTTTCACTCGATTTCTTAACACGAGTACAACAACAAGAACAACAGCAGAAAACAACGACTCCTTTTGACAGACAGCTGCAACTTTTCGAGGCTGTTGACGTCGTAGCCGCGTCATCATCATCAGCTTCTTTGTTGTTGTCACCTACCATGTTGATAATAATTTAGCATGTTGTTGTTGTTGCTGCTGCTGCTATCATGTTGGATCGTTTACTTAAGCAAATATGCCGATCACTAGGCAGCAGAGTTGACTTTATTACTCATACGCCATGATAGCCACAAAAGCAACTCAAACTGAACGACAGACTCTTCCTTGACGGCTGCTGTCGACGATGGCACCGAAAGCGTCAAGTCGGACCTGCAAATATATAACGAGTACATACATACATATCCATATATATATATATATATATATGTGTGTGTGTGTGTGTGTGTGTATGTGATAATAGAATTGGCAAACACAAATTATATATGCATTGGCAATTAACACAACAAGCAACAGTAACCACAATAAC